ACCACAAAACCCCCTTACACAACAACTACTAAGCCACCGTATACTACGACCACCGCATGCAAGACGTTCACCGTCTGCGACCCGTGGTACAAACCAACAGATTCATGGCAAACCGTGGCCTCTTGATTCCGCTACACAAATTCTGAACAAAATGACCCAAAATGTGAAGAAAAGCAGAAAACCAATTTCCAAGGAGCACGAGCTTTGGGGATTATCACCATGATTGAAGCAAGATTGTGGAAATAATTTGGCTTTTTCGTTGTCTTTTGGCTCTATGTAATTTCTCTTGTTCCCGTCTGGTATTTGTCTTTTGGAGACTGACAAGCGTGCAACGCTGGTCCTGCAATGCTTTCCACTGACGGTTAACATGTAACCTAGTTCTACAGTGGTTGTCGTTGGTTCCACCTCGTACTAATGGTCTGCTGGTTTGTTGAAACAAAATCATAAGTAAAATATTGAAAGTGGTAATGACCCCGAGAACCAGTTCGTAATGCCATTGTCGCCCCAAAAATTATTGTGAAAATAGCACCTAACAGAAGTTTAATCTATGTAGCAGGAAAGCTAACATCTCGGGAATTGAACCTCAAACTCAGTCTCGATCTTCGTATTATTCCGTTTTCTTTTATGGAAGTAGAAGTTCCGGGTATTAATCCGACACAAAGCGTAAAATACCAAGAAGGAAAAATTGTTCTAAACTTCACCAAATATGATGTCCAGCCCACTCCCTCCTTCCCGTATCCCTACCGTATACTTCAAAATTGACTTGGCACGCACCGGCTGATCGAACTATGAAGCTTAAAGCAAGCTCAACCCCGGTAACGATAGAGTTCCCTCCGGGAAAACAAGCTTTACCTTCGACTACCTTTTTTTTCTACCCCCTTTATCTCTTTTCCTACCGTTCCCGCAGTTCCCGACCCTTCAAGGGCCCAGGAAGAGGGGGCCGGGACTGATGACGGACCCACGGCTCGTACCCGATCGTGTCTCTTAGGAACCCGTGGGTCTAGGGTTGAGGCTCCTCCGGTACTTTGGGTGGGTGCTTGATTGTACAGAATTCTGAACGTCCCGTGGAAGGGAGCAGCTGCGCGGCTCACTCTGCCGGCCTTGTGCTGTAAGTTCACCGGTGGGAGGTGTGGGATTGTGCGAGTTCCTTTAGGGCACGGGTGGGCGGAACTGCTCGTGTTTGGGGCAATGCACTGTGCTATAGCTATGGCGCTACAGCTGAAGTCATTATCGGAGAGTATGTCGCTAGTAGATTTTTTCAAGAGCACCCTATTCTTACCGTGGAGATTGTTAGGAGAAGAGGCTTGCTCTGGGTACTACGTTACGGGATAGGGACGATCATGATGGGAAGCATGAGCACTATTCACAACAAAGGAAGTCTACCTCGACTCGATAAGAACGATCGACAGAAGAGACAAGCGTATCACTGCACTTCTTAACATCATTACAAACAGGAAATAGAAGCCCCCCCCCCAAAGTCAAGCCATCCTCAAATAAATCCCTCGTCCTCCACAGTATCCTTAGCGGAGTACTGTGCCCATGGATTGACCCCACAGACACGGACAGCAAAGAAACCTACGGTGTTCACGCCACATAGTCCTCAAAGTTGGCATTCTCGGGATCGCGATCCAGCAAGAAGGCAAACCGGCGGGCATTCCGCTTCAGGTACTCGGGCACGTCCGTGACGCGGGCGACCCTCTCGTAGTCCTGGCCCTGGCGGTCGAACAGGTCGAGGCCGCGGCGCACGCGGCGCACGATCTCGCGCGGCTCGACGAATTCGGGCCGGTTGTACTCCGTGTGCGAGAAGCCGCGGATCTTCTGGACCAGCTCCGCGACGCGCGAGAAGCACGAGCTGCAGTGCCAGCTAGCGTTGCCCAGGTCGAGCCCCGTCGGGCTGCCTGCGCTGTGCATGCGCAGGTCCTCGGGCAGCAGGGTCCGCTCCAGCCCGGCGTAGACGGTCGCCTGCGGGTGGTGCCAGTCGGCGCCGACGTGATGCCACTGGAACGAGTAGTAGTAGAAGCGGCTGCGCAGCGTGACGCGCGGCGGGGTGACGCAGTTGCGGAGGAGGGTCAGCGTCTCCGGCCGCGGGATCTCGTCGGCGTCGGAGACGAGTAGGATGTCGTCCGGGTTGGGGCGCGCGGCGCCCAGCAGGGAGGGGAAGACGCCGGTGAAGAGCGCGTTGCGCGTGTAGGCCTCGCGCTCCCAGGTGGTGTTGTGGCGCAAGGGAGAGAGGTCCAGCGCATGGTAGAGGATCTTGGGCGCGAACCGCGAGAAGTTGCTGTAGTGTTCCGCGAAGTGCAGGGGCTTCGGCCGCCCCGTGAAGGTCTCGGTGGACTCGACTATCACGAAGTAGTCCACTTGGCTGTCTAGCTCGTGCATGCGGATCTCCATCCAGTCTAGCTCCGTGCTAAACGGAACCATATCGTAGATCTTGCGGCGCTGGGTGCGCTCGCGCCACGGCTGCAGGTCGTGTTGCGCGCAGAGGGCTTGTGCTTCGGCTTTGGGGAGATAGTCGTGGTGGTCTTGAAAAGAGGAGAGATTGCCATCACTTGAAAACAGGCATAAAGGGATCAAGAGGTGGGGTCTCAGGAAAAGGCATATCGTGGCTAGCAGCGCGGAGAGGAAAAATATTCGCCGGAGTCGTTTGCTCTGCCTTCTGGACGATGGTTGTGGAAAGGGGTATATCATGCGCTTCAACGAGTCTCTCTTAGGGCTCCTGTTAAAAGAAGGGGAATACATTGCAGCATCTAAAGAAACACCTCAGCTCGTGGAAGCTTTCACGCAAAGAATTTAATTAGAATAGACGCCTGGAGAGGGGGGGTAAGGAGGACGACACGAAATGATCTTGTACGCAATAAAGGACAGGCTTCATCACCGCGGGGTAGAGGTAGGGTATGATGCGTGGGATGGGCCTCTAACACTCAAGTGGGTACTGTACGTATTGTCAATTATGCTTCGTGAGCTTGATCACAAGACAATCCTAATACTGCTGGAGCTCCTTGAGCCAATCTCAGAGACCTTATTCGTTCTCAGAACCGATGAGTCTAGACCCGTCTCTTCCGTGTCGTATAATCAATCGATGGACCGTCGTCTTTGACTGTCGTCGACACTGTGACACCTGGAATCAAATACGATGCTCGAAAGCCAGTACTCATGTTATCAGGGCGACGAGAAAACTTTGTCCACCACTTTTTTTTTTTTTTTTCTTTTTTTTTCTTTCTGAGAAACAATGCTGGTTAGCCCGGCCTGAGTAGGTTTACAAAGCTGTGCTTGTTCCGTAGTCAGGGCTCTCCGGTTCCGAGATAAAAACTTGCATGCGCGATATGAGCATGAGTGTTTGGTCAGTGCAGTCATGACATCAGTCTTTTCTTTGTCCGTAAGGCTTTTGGGAGCTTTAAGCTTGCGGACACCAAGCTCACAGTTTCCATGGAACTGGCGGAAGTCGACATGGTGGATCCGCGATTTAAGCATGAACTCGGATCCGCGACCCAGACTTGACGGGCGCAGGCTCCGGTTGCCACTTTCGCGATTGGGGAAGTATACTGAATTGAGTTTCTCCCTAAGCAAGTCAGTCTACTGGTTCTTGCTGTTGCTGGAATTCCCGAATTATCACGGGCTGAGTATACATGAAAGTGAGAGGCAGTGATTGTGGGGTGGAGGCGTTCCACGCAGGGGACAACTCTTACTACTGTCCTGTACATACCCCGGGGAATCCTGTCTTTGGCTTGAAACTGTAGAACTCGTGTATACAGCCGTCACTGAGTTATCAGCCGATTCTTCCGAGTCACCGAGGCTATCGTACTGAGTGCAAGTGATATTTTGAATATCTCCGATCCCTGAAAATCCCCGAAGATGCCAAGATGAGCCTCTTTTCCAGAACCGTCCTTTCATTGTGCGCACCTAAAACGCCCTAAGCTTGGATACCAACTTCCCCTTCCCCATGACGGAATTCTCCTAATGGACTACATCCGCAACAAACAAGGCGAACAGACAAACTATTGTACAGCTTTCTTTTGCATGGCCGCCGTGTAGAGTGCCATGCCTAGCACCGCCAGCAGCACACCCAGAACACTCTCCGTCGCCACCGCGGTCGAGCTGCGCACCCACCCCAGTGCGATAATGAGGCACGTCTTGGCCTGGCCCACCACTGTACTAGTTACTGCGCCTGCGCCATTGATGACGTGAAAGGACGAGAGATTGATCACGCACGCGCACCCACCGCTCAGGAAGAGGAGGCCCCATTGGTGGGGTGTTATCGTCGTCCAGCCCGGGAATGTATCGGTGAACAGGGAAATACTGCCAATGAAGATCGCGCAAAAGGGGGCTTGCTTGGAGAGTAGCTGGATGCTCGAGATGTGCAGGCGCGAGTGGTAGTGCGCCACCCAGACCGTGTACAACGCGGAGCAGAGTACGCCGCTGAATGCGTAGATAATGCCCAGCGTGGACGTCGAGTCCATCGTCTGCGGGCTGTCGGCGAGGGAGCGCCGGCGAGGCATTACATCCGCATAGGTCACAAGGCCCACGCCCAGGCAGGCAGGCACGAGCGCGAGGGCCGCGTAGAAGGGGATTCTGAGATGGTAGAAGAAGAGATTGATGAGCACGGTCAGCGGGGTGAGTAGGATGCGCACGATCTGGTAGCAGACGATCGAACTGTGCGCCAGGGACAGGTTCATCAGGATGATGTTGGCGCACATGACGATGGAGAGGGGCAGGATTGCGAGCAGGGGGGTGTCTGTGGGTGTGATCTTGAGGATGGAGGCTCGTCGCACTATTTGCAGAAGGATCCCGGTGATAGTGAAGTGATACGCCACGAAGCTGAAATGGCATTTCCTGAAGGCAGGATCGGAGAAGATGGATTTATTGATGTAGACCTGGTGAGTCAGCCATTTGACGCTCGCTCTCTCCTGCTTTTCTCACAGCTGCGTTCCGGGCAGACCGATACTTACAATTGCAACGGTTGCGAAGATATTAATGACTATCCAGATCGTGGTGTGTCTGCTTGTCTCCCTGCGCCCGGTTTCTTCAGGGCTTGGAGATGGAGATGAGGCCACTCCGATCTCGACATGTTTTTCTTTCTCCATAGATGACATCCTAATGAGCCCGACTATTGTCGAAGACCTCTGGACTCAGTCTGGCACCTGGTGGGGGGGTAGATTGTTTCTGAGGCGATCGGGAGGAAACATTAGTGGATTATATTGTCTTGTAGCATCCGCTCAGGATTGGAGCCAAGTACGACCAGTGAGGTAATTGACTCGGTGGCTACTAGGTAGTTTGTGTCATTTTGTAGGACTGAATCGAAATCTTCGGTTCACGGCCCTGACGGTTGGCGTGATCTTTCAGTTTCTTTGTTGCATAGAGGTCCATTCTAGACCGAGTTGCGGGAGTGGACCGTCGGTCCAGCCACGGACGGACCAAGATCTGAGAAATCCTTCGTGTCCGAACCACACTTTTAGGCGCATAAATGATCTCATCAGTCGGGTAAGTGAGCCGTTGTAACTCGAGATACCATTTCCGGCTTCCCTGAGTACGCTTCCTTGTGGTCGATGGCAAGTTTCCCCCCCACATTCATGGTCTATACGACTCACAGGCTCGTAGTAGGGTCTGGACCGAAGTGGAGACGTCCAACAGTAACTGATCACTCTAGCAAGTCTAGCGTTGGTCGAGGGGTAGTGGACGAAGTCATGTCGTGACTAGGGGCTTATAGAGATCTACCCAACACCGCGATAGGAGAGACTTTCGGCTTCAGCTTCCATCTTTTCTCCAGCGAAATCCCCTATGCTAGGCAAGATGCTTTCACTTCCCTATCGCTGGCGTGGGGGGCTCCCCCTCAAAGTCCTTATTGTAACCTTCGTCCTTGTATACTGTTTCTGGTTCCTCAACGCGGCCTTGGCAAAGACCGAATCGCCCACTGGCGACGTGGACAGGGACGCCTCTTGGCCGACCTCCTTCGACAAGCCATCGTTCCGCAAGCCGTCGCATTCACTGCCGCCCCACAATGCGCTGGGGGATAGCCCTATCCGCGGCGACGGCGAAGACTCGATTGCCTCCGTCGCGCAAGTGCTGCAAGACATCTTCGCCCTCCTTCCAGATGAGGCCGATCGAAAAGATCTGATCGAACCGATGCAGGAGACGGGCGACGCCAAGATCCGCGAACTTGGCGCTCGCGCCCGCGTGTTCAAAGCCTTTCTGGAAGCATGGGAAGCGCTACATCTGAAGCTGCCATCATCGTCCACCCCGGGGCCCATCTTCGTCCGCGAGGATACATTGGCCTACCTCCAGCGCCACCGGGACGCGTTCGCCGCGCGGCTGGCCATGGACCCCCCTGACCTGATCCACGCCTACGACGAGGCGCGAACCTTCCTCACCCAACTCTCGACCGCCCTCTTCGACTGGACCCAGCCCTACTTTGGCCCCCTCATCAACCTGCACACCGAATTCCCGACGGGCGGGCGGGGCCTGGTCTTCACGGCGGGCAACGGGCAGGCAGTCTACCTGCTGACCTCGATCCAGTCGCTCCGCCGGCTCGGCTGCACCTTGCCCGTGGAGGTGCTCTATCTGGGGACCGAGGACCTGGGCGAGAAGTACCGCAAGCAGCTCGAGGCGATCCCTGGCGTAGTGACGCGGGACCTCCGCCCGATGATCGACGACGAGGGCTGGACGCTGCGCGGGTGGGCGGCCAAGCCGTTCGCGATCCTCCTGTCGAGTTTCCGGGAGGTGATCCTCATTGACGCGGACTCGCTCTTCTTTACTGACCCTGCTGCCCTGCTGGAGGAGCCGGCCTACCGGCGCACCGGCGCCCTGTTCTTCTACGACCGCATCTTCGCGCCCACCATGGAGCGGAGGCCCTGGCTGAAGAATCTCCTGCCGGCCCCGGTGTCCCAATCGATGCGAAAGAATCGCTTCTGGACCGGGCTGAGCAGTCATATGCAGGAATCCGGGGTCGTCGTGGTGGATAAATGGCGCCACTTCGCTGCCATGCTGCTCGTCACGCGCCTGAACGGACCGGATCGGGATGGTGACAAGGACGCCGGCAGACCGGGGGTGTATGATATGGTCCTTGGTAGGTTACGCTTCGGTTTTTCCCATCCCTTTGATTACTGGGTCGAGTACTAAGTGATAGAGCAGGAGACAAAGAGACCTTCTGGCTGGGCTGGGAGTTGATTGGGGACACCCAGTACGCTTTCCACGAGGGGGGTGTCGCGACGATGGGCCCATTGGAAGTGGGAGACAAGAAGGAGAAGGAGGAGGAAGAAGAGAAAGAAAAGGAGGACACGCAGTATACGGTCTGTGGGGCGCAGGTGCTGCATCTGGATCGCGCGGGGCGGCCGCTCTGGTTCAATGGCTGGTTGTTTCCCAAGGTCTCAGGCGAACGGCATCCTGTCCACTTCGAATCCTTCATTCCGGAACCCCCAGATGTGGCGGGTGACGGTCATTACGGTATCCGGCCCAGTAACGTGTTCTGCCTGGCCTCGAAGCACATCTCGAATTTCACGAGCGCAGAAAAGGCGATGTTGAATGAAACCATTGAGCTGGCGGAGGCGCTGGGCGCATTTGGGACAGACTAAGTAGTGTTGGAGTACGTCGGAGTACTCCGTGCTGTACATCCATATATTCCTCTATCTTTCTTTCTATCATAAATGCCTAATGAAACGCTGTAATGGTCGTGTTTGGCCGGGTCTTTGCTATCAAACTGGTATGAGGGGGAGGGGGGCGGGGGCATTCGCTGACCGGATGTCCGCTACACGTATAAGCTACCCAGGTAGACCAAAGCGCATGGAACAAGAGATATATGCTGGATCTCGTTTGCCATGTTCATAAATTGACCAAAGATAGTACGTAACATACATGCCAGAGTATGATGTCAAAGCCTGCCCTACTCAGAGTAACTGCTCGGTCACAGTCTCCCAAACCTTCTCATCCTCGTCCAAGGGCCCAAAAATCGCCGCCATCTCCAACAGCAACCGGTAGACATATATGGACAGGTCAATCTCGCGCAAGACCCGGCGCGACCAAGCGGACCCGGCCGCTGCAATCTCCGCGGAGAGACGCTCCCCCTCGGGGTCATTGATGAGGAAGTCCATCACGGAGGGCAGCTCCTCCATGCCCATCGTGACAGGGATATAGTGAGCCCAGGGAATCAGTCGCTGGTCGTGCCACTCCTCGAACCAGGTCTGCTTCAGCACGACGGCGGGCTGCGAGAGGAGGTGATAAAACCGGCAGCTCATGCTGTTCCCGTCCAAGTCGAAGAGATAGCGGAACTGCCGCTCGGCCTGCTGGGCCTCGAAGTGCGCGGGGCCCAGCACCCGCTCCATCTCGCTGCAGGCCTCCCCGTCGCACTGGATGTAGCCCCCCATCTGCACGTCGAAGGCATTCCGCAGGGCGCGGGTGGTGCGCCCCTCCCAGCCCCGGACTACTGCGGCAGCACCGCCGAAGTAACGACTCACCTCGAACACCTCCGCTGCCCGCTGCAGCGCGTGCACGAACCCCACAAACCGCTGTCGGTGGCCGTACCGCCATGTTGCGCGCAGCGCCTGGCCGCCGGTCGACCGGCCCCGCCAATAAACCGTCTTCAACTTGTCGCGGAAGGGGAACGAGTCCGTGTCCGTCTTGCCCTCGTCTGGTGCCACCCCGTTGGTCACGTAGCAGGGGCACGGAACCAAGATGTCGCGGAAGGCGGACATGCGGCCGAAGCTCAGGATCGGGACGCGCGCCTGGGTGTAAATAAAGCTGCTCGGAGAGGCGATAAGCGCATGCAGTTTCCCGGGCTCCGGGGATCGACAGACATCGCGCTCCTCATCAACCTGGCGGTGCTCCACTCCAGTGCAGGACTCCTTGACCAGCGTCTCAATCGAGCGACGTTGATGATCAACGAAGGTCACATTGTCGTCGGGGTGCATCCCCCCTGCTTTCGCGAGCACACGGGGCTCGTCAATGGTACTCAAGTAGATGAGGAACTTGCGGGGCAAGGCATGGGCGAAAGGGGCGAGGATGGTGGTCCATTCGTCGCCGTACAGAAGCCCACCTGAGGCATTGACATGACCATCGACGAAGGCCACACGCCGGGTCTTCGGCCAGTCGTCTTGGTACTTCTCGTTGAGCCGATGAAAGACGCGCCGGGCCTCGTCGGTCCGGTAGGGTTGGAGGTCGATCTCGATCTGATCGAAATCATCAATCACCCGCGAGTCGTGGTCCAGGGCGAATTGCACCCACTCCCGAAAACCGGGGGGTGGGGGTCGACCGTAGCGTCTTTCGTACTCGGCGATGGCGGCCTCGGGAGTGCGCGATTGCGCCTCGAGGAAATGCGCCATGCGCGACTGCGCGGCTTTAATCCTGCACCGGATGGCAGCACTCGATAAGCCTTTGCCGGCCTGAGCGAGCGTGCAGTCCGACCCGCTCGCCCCAAATGCCTCGTCGTGGCTGCTGAAGTGGTTCCAGGACCCTCCATGGTGCGATTGGAAGTAGAGTTGGGATGAGATCAGGATAATGAAGATGGTGGCTGAGATCACAAATGTAGCCTGGAAGCTTCGTATCCAGAGCCTGAATCGAAGCAGAGACATTGCGAGTGTTGATCGTTAACGTTCCTCACTTAATGTCCTAGTACTAGTTTTGAAGAGGTTGTGAGAACATGGGCGTTGGCTTTGTCGATAAATATATGTGTATGGCGGTGCGTTTTCGCTTTAGGGCCGAGTAAAAAAGAAGGAAAAAAAAAAAAGGAAAAAGAAGAAAAGAGATTTCAAAAATTGCAATACCAATAAGAAAGGTTATCTGTGTAACGAACATGTTGCATGGTGAAGTTCTTCCGTTCAAAGACCAGAGGAGAAGATATGCGCGTCATTAGATTCATAGGAACCATGGAGTCCATCTCTGTTGGAAGGTTGAGTGTTCAGGGATACGAAAGTGTCACTTACTTCTTACTAGCAGTTAATTTAACTTACTTTCTTACAAACCAGGGGTCGAGGGCTACCGTACCGCCACGCGGAATGCGGGAAATTGTGAGGGCATCCAAAGATCGGCCTAGACCTGCCCTAGTTGGTGCCCTAGGCACAAAAGCCGTCCTTCATTCTTCAACGAAGCGCCACTGAGTGCACGGTTTCAATTGTCCCTAGGTCCCTAGCTATACAGACAAGAGGATGTGACATCCCTGGGATTTATTTGAGGTTCTCAAATCGGTCTTTGGTGTCTGATTACCTTTACCACTAGACCCGTGGAGTGATACTGCTTTAAGAGGTTAAGAAAAGCATAGAGCACATACTTCCTCTACCGGTGCGTGTCTGAGTTCCCATCATAGCGGGCTTGAGGGCCAGTTGACCAGATCGCGAAATGGCTACGTCCGAGTCCGAGGAGGAGGGCCTCTATCAGACTCCTGAGCATGCAGTAAATGATAAATTGACGGTTGGCGCAGAACCACACGAACTCGACTTTGATCATACCTCAGTTGAACTGCCGTAGAGTAGGTAGACAGCAGCTGAAGACGTAGATACTCCAATTGGAGGCTCCCGTCTTTATCGTTGCACTACATGTGCCGCCGAGTATAACCCCCCCCCTCTTCCCTTTTCCCTCGCTCTCGTCTTGACGGTGGGATGCGGTCGATTTTGCTGCGCATTGTTGCTGTCGGAGACGCTCAGCCTCTCCTTCTCCAGCAAAGACTCTTGATGGCTCCCACGCTAGCGTTGAACAGCGTGCGCTGCCGTTGGGCTGCGGATGCTTCATTGATCAGTAACGCTGCTCGGGGAGAGGACAAACTACTAGGAACCTCTCACTATATTCCAACAAGAAGATTACCGGTCAAGCTACAGATCCTGCACCTGAACAAACCAGAAGAATGGTATCTCACATCTGACCTTGAACAAGTCACGATCATCACTCCATAAGCCAACCAATGCACCCCCGAAACCACATTAAACCACCAACGCTCCCACCACCCCAACTGCCATAACAACCCACCCTGCCTTTCCCACCCCGACCGCCGCGCCATCCCCGCGCTGCTGGTTCTCATACGGATCCTTCAACTGTCCCACCTCCCCCTGACTCACATTCACCACCGTATAAAACCCATCCAGCACCACCGAATCATCCGCACTGGCATGGTACAGCGGAGCGCACGCCTCCACCGCCGTCCGATTCTTCACCCCGGCCGTGCAGCCCTCCACCGTCCCCGTGTAGCAATACTGGTAGGCCGTGAAGTTCAGGTAAGCCGACTGGCCCGGGCGGAGCACGCGCGTGCCGTCGATCGCGCCCACGGTGGAGTCGCTGAATTTCTCCGTCAGCGTGGCGTTGCCGACCGTCTCGTCGACGACCGTTGCGAAGGCCGTGGCAGACAGGCGGGTGAGGTTGGTGCGGGCGATGTAGCGTGCGTCGCCGGCGGCCGTGAGGGCGCAGGTCAGGTTCTTGTTGCTGGAGCAGGTCTCCGCGCCGGAGACGCGTTGGGGAGGGGAGGTTTTCAGGTAGGCTTCATTGTGGTCCCAGTTGAAGACGGTGCAGTTGGCCTGGTTGGAGGATTGGGCGGACGTCAATGGGGCGAGGAGGAGAGAGAGGAGGGTGATGACTTGGAGTGATTGCATGTTCATAGGCTTAGATGAGTCGGAGATAGGTCTGCGATGGCTGCTATTTTTCTTTGAATAGTGAAGCCATGTGCCATGCGTGGTGGAGGCCTTTTATGCGGCGGTTGAAGCCCTATGTATAAGAGTCAAGTATAGATGCTGGTGCCGCATTGGCGCCAAGCTGTGCGCCCACGAGTCATTCAGGGCAACAACACAACACTGCCACGCCCTCTCGGCGTGCTGCCTTCCGACGTCATTATGATTGATTGTTGGGCATGTCAGGTACACACTTGAGCGCAACCTATCCGAGATCCGTTGGATGGTGGACAGATCGCCCGGCTGGCTCTCTCGGCATTGATTTAGTGCCGTCGGGGAGAGGCCCATTGCTACAACTTATGTAGCAAGTAAGAACGAACAAGCCAATAAGAACAACGCCAGCAGCCAACTAAATCCAGCCAAGACAAGCAGAGGTCATAAGATCTCGAGAAAGTATGTCAGCCAAGAAGCCCTGAGTTCATATCCGGTAGGACCTTGGACCTCCATATGCCCGGGCCGAGGGCGGATCAGCCCGCCCAGCCCAGCGCCACCCTCACAGCCTCACGGACTTTATCTTTGGGGTGGAGATTCATTGTGTATGTTTGCCAATGAAATCAGAACCGCCCTCCCAGGCGCATCCTCAGAAATACACCTTGCTCGCCAAGAGCGGAGCTTCAAGGCTGAACTTTCTGATACCCGATGATGAGTTGTATTGAGCACCGCCTCGGCATCAAATGACGATTGTATGGTGACTATCACTATCCACACCTCTGGCTGAGACTAAAGTTCTTTCCGATGGAAAGAATTGGTAAACCCGACCGGGAGATTTACTGGTTCATTGGATGGTTCTTTTCGAAATCTGCGTGGGGTATGCTGAGATGTGAGCCTGGTACCCTAGATTTTATATAGTTCGCTCCGATATTCGGGTAACTATGTTTCAGTACCTCAGTTTACCCAGTGAAAGTGGTCGAAGGGCTCCTCTTACCTCTAGGTCGCTACCATTTTGCCGAAGCACCACACCTTTCTAAGTTGTTAACTGACAGCCTTCTGTGGCTGCATCAGCCACACTTCCCAAGACGGAGCAACAAATCGGCCAGATAAGACAGAGCGTGGTGCCTCAGGCAGCAATATCATCGATAAGCCGACCGGGAAAGCATCGCATCGTCGCATTTCTTCTCTCTGACACACACACCACAACAGGTCTCACTCGACGCTTTTCTCTTTTCTTTGCTCCCTCTATTTGCATCTGATCTACAAACATCTAAAAGTATCATGTCTAGAAATGACAACACTCAAGGAAGAAGCCATATACCTGCATCCATGAATGCCACCCGACCGGCAGTGTGAAATTACATTAGAAGCCTCAGCAATGAGGAAAGATTCACAAAACAGGACATCATGAGGAAAGAAAACAATCTTGCCATTCTCTCTCATTGATCGACCTTCATCTCTCCTCCCTTTTCAACGAAAGCCGTCAAATCCTCAGCCTGCACCTGCAGACACGCCCGGAACTTCTTCCCCATGAACCACTTGACCACGTACGCCAGCGGCCCCCGCTGCGACTCCCACGATACCACCTGCGTGACGCGTTGATTTCCTTGTCCTTCAGTTTCCCCGCCTGGCGCCTCCTCCACAAATTCATGGAACTCATGCACCCGCTCCGCATATAGCAGCCACGAGGGCAAGCCCTGGCCCGAAGGATCGGTCGCCCACGCGATGCGCGCGGGTGTCTGACGCCCGTCCTTGGGCGGGTCGAACTCGGTCACCACCAGGGCCACATCGGCCGGCTTGGTCTTGGGTCCCCGGGGGTTCCAGTTGAGATGGATGGTCATCTTCGTGCCGAGGTGCAGCCGCGTCGACTGTCTCTGGTCAGGCTGCTCGCGGATGGTGGCCCCGGGGCAGAAGGTGTTCCATGTCGACCAGGCGCCGGTGTTAACCACGGCGTCCCATGCGTCGGTGGCGGGGGCTCGAATGACTGTTGAACTCAGATACGTGCCCCGAGACTCTCGCGCGGGGATGCTCTTGGTGGAGAGATCGAGAGTGGTGGGGTCGAGCCGGGGAGACATTGGAGGAGGAATATAGAAGATAGAACGGGGAGATGAAGCAGTACGGAGTGAACATATTGCGTGTGCGGTTGGTATTGACTGTTGGCGGCGGTATTTTTATGGATGCTGACGTTGGGGAGGATTTCGGACTCGATGGCCGGTGGAGTCCGCTCGACGCAGGCGTGCAGGATGAGATGTCGGACTACACTCATTTCCCTCGCAACTGATTGGGCCCTTGTTGGCTGAACGCTTTGGGGCGATTTCTGACCTGCCATGTTCGCAGCCTTGCGGCTGACATGGATTCGTTCGGAGAAGGATGTTGCTGGGATTGGCTGATTGTCCGATGCGGAAGATACGCGCGGACTGCTTGGCGGGCTGAGAGATTTCCATCGGAGAGATGTGATACTTTATATCGAGATGGATTGCAGACATATCACGCCACCCTGCATCGTTTACCTACACCATTGACAAGAAAATCATCTCTTCATCAAACCTTTCGCAAACTCAACCACAATGCCCACCTCCTTCGACCTCACCGACAAAGTCGCCCTAGTCACCGGTGCCGGCCGGGGCCTGGGCGCCGCCATCGCCAAAGAGCTCGCTTCCCACGGGGCCTCAGTCGTGGTCAACTACGCTCGCTCCGCGGCCGCCGCCCAGCGCGTCGTCGACGAGATCGAAGCCCTCCCCGGCAACCCTCGGGCCGTCGCCATCCAGGCGGACGTGACCCAGCCGGCTGAGGTGACGCGGCTGTTCGAGGCGGCCATCGAGCACTTTGGCAAGATCGACATCGTCATGTCCAACTCCGGGATGGAGGCCTTCTCCGCCGAGGAGGACGTGACCGCGGAGTTGTACGACGAGGTGTTTGGGTTGAACACGCGGGCCCAGTTCTTCGTCGCCCAGCACGCCCTCAAGTACGGCAGCCACGGCGGCCGCCTGATCCTGACCTCCTCCGTCGCTGCCCAGATGACCGGCGTCAAGAACCACGCCCTGTACGCCGGCTCCAAGGCCGCCGTCGAGGGCTTCACTCGCAGCTTCGCCGCCGACTGCGGCCCCAAGAAGATGACCGTCAACGCCGTCGCCCCCGGCGGCATCTACACCGATATGTACCTCGAGAACTCGTGGCACTACGCCCCCAATGGCTACCCCGGCATGCCCATCGAGCAGATCGACAAGGGCATTGCCAGTCTGTGTCCGCTGGGCCGCACGGGCAAGCCCCTCGATGTCGCACGGGTGGTTGCCTTTTTGAGCTCGGCAGAGGGCGAGTGGATCAACGGTGTGTATTTCTTCTCGAGTCGGTCCAACGAATGCTAATGTTTTGACGCGAATAGGTCAGGTGATTAAATTGACTGGTGGTTCCAGTGCGTAAGGGAGATACATGGTAGCTGGTGCGGTTTTGCTTTCTAGTTTCTTGATTTTGCTGCTTCTAGAGAAGTGTACATGGCCTGTCTTCAATGTCGCGCACGAAACGAATGTAAATGGACGGACACGTACAAATTGCATATTGTCAATGGGTTGTTTCTAAGCTTGAGAATGTAGTACCTTTACTGTTAAATTTCTCATCATTGCTACAGAGTGGCATGAAAAGTAGATTGCAACAAGCTCTTGGAACCGGTGTTCTCTGACCATTGTTGTTCCTTGTGCGTTCTACCTTCCAACGCTCGATGTGCTGCCCCCTACAGCGTCTCAACAGACATCGGACAAGGGACCCTTGTCAGAGGCTAGCCTGAAGCCTGAAGTGCCGGACATCGGACAGCCCCTCATCAAGGCCGGATACCGATGTCCGTCGAGCGTGGGATTGATCGAAACAGTCAGATGTGCATGATCCTGCCCGGGACCGGGTTGGACTAACTATAACTACAACCCGCGGCACATTCACTACCCAGTGCACACTCTTCCACCACCTTTGTTGATTTTCTTACCATTACCAATCAGACAAGATGCCGGCTGATAGCAAATGCGACGTCTTGGTCGTCGGGGCAGGCCCTGCCGGCTTTATGGCTGTTTTGACGCTGGCCCGCTACAAGGTTGACGTCCGGGTGATTGACGTGCGCCCTGAGCGCATTCAGACTGGCCATGCAGGAGGTGTGTTTCCTTCTTCCTCGTGTTCAGTCATTCCCAATGAGAACAAACAGACTTATAAACACGAACAGGAATCCAACCCCGGACGCAGGAGGTCCTGCAAACCCTCAATCTCCGTCACCAGCTTGACACGCGAGGCAACCATGTCAGCGAGATGGCCTTCTGGGCGCCCAACGATCTCGGCCAGCTGGAGCGCACCTACGTCGGCCAGGAGATCCAGACCACGACGCCCTACCCGTGGATTCTGAGCGTGCCGCAGCGCGAGACGGAGCGGGCCTTCGACGAAGAGCTCCAGCGCCATGGCTGTCAGGTTGATCGACCGGTCGAGTTGATCGATTTCGCCTACGTCGACAACGACGCCGAGTATCCGCTGCACGTGCGGGTCAAGCACCGGCACTCGAATGTCGTCTCGACCTGCCGCACCAAGTACCTTCTGGGCGCCGACGGGGCCGGCAGCAAGACCCGGCAGCTGCTGGGCTTCGACTGGGAGACGCACGGCAGCCAGGACGAGGTCTGGTGCGTGGCCGACGTGCAGCTGCAGAGCGACTTTCCCGACCTGCGCCGCCGCTGCGCCATCCGCGCCGCCCAGGGCCGCATGATGCTGATCCCCAACGCCCTGGACACGAACCGCGTCTACACTTTGCTCAACGACGAGGATCTCCGCCGGGTGGCCGAGCAGCCATCGCCCAAGGCCAACGGGGCCAACGGGGTCAATGGAGTGAACGGCTACGCGCGGTACAGCGACACAGCCCTGGAGGCGCTGCTGCGACAGCGCGTGCGCGACGTGGCCGGCAGCTACACGATGGAGATCGAGCAGATCCTCTGGATCAGCCAGTACCGGCTGCAGCAGCGCATCGTGGACCAGTTCTGGGACCAGCGCCGGGTGTTCATTCTGGGGGATGCGTGCCACACGCACAGCACCTCGGCCGCGCAGGGGCTCAACACCAGCGTCGCCGACGCCTACAATCTGACCTGGAAGCTGGCGCTGGTGCTGCAGGGGCGCGCCCATCCCGGCCTACTGGACACCTACGCCCTGGAGCGCCGCCAGATGGCGCAGGAGCTCATCGACTTCGACGTGCAGTTCTCGCACCTCTTCTCGCGCAAGGACTTCCGCGAGGACACCCAGTTCCAGGAC